TGCTTGCCACTAGCTCGGATATTCAAAACCACTGCACTACGAAAGTACACTAAAATATCTGCGTTTTCCCGTCACCACATTTGAAAAATGCTCCGAAACTATGCAAATTTTAAAATCTCAAATAAAATTCAACAAAACATACAGATTCAACTCTAGGTACTATACTGGTTCAAATTTGTGTTTGACGAAATTTCTGTCACTTCGGCTGCAGGCACTATCGAAACATGGTGCGTCTTTATTAAAGTCTTTCCAATAAAAACGCTTGACTTTTAGCAAGACTTGAAAAGTGTCTCCGATATATGGCCCAAATTCTTTATTGTGCAATGCACGAATATGGAGATTATACAGCAATTTTAACTGCCATCTCTTCGGAACTACCATTAATTTGGTTTCTTTCGTGCAATCTTCTTTATAATACAATAATCCATCCTTTTCATCGACATGCATTCTACTAAGCTCTTTTCTTTCCTCTCCAGTCAGTTCATCTGAATTCTCATCTATGTCTCGAATCCAAGGTTTAGTATCTTCTTCGTTCTGCTGTGCGTCCAACCAAAACCCGGGACTATCAAATTCTCTCTCCGATGTAATAAAATCATTATTTAGCGTTACACTAGACCGTAAATTATCTACCCACCCTTCTTCCGATTTTTCTGACTCATTTAATTTATTCTTTCCTTGCATACGCTTCACGTAACGACGGGTTTTTTCTTTTTCTTTTTCGGTCTGTGGTACCGAGGTTGAAACCAGCTGGTTTCCAGTGTCCGGCACACAACGAGCACTCATTCTTTTCGCACATACTTTGCCTGGTACCACCAGCGGCCGTGATACAATTTCCGTATTTGCTTCCGCCGAGACCACCTCTGCACCAGACTTCCTTTTCTCACATATCACGCATGCTTTGTCATATGCCCGTGCATCATTGCGGAAACCACTCCAATAGTAACCTTTTTCATACTCCAAAATGTCTTCCGTACTACCAAACTGTGGGCCAAACTGTTTCTCATGAATACCACGCCTGTGCACTTTCTCCAGCAACATATTCTGCCATTTCTTCGGAATGACTATACTTCTCGCATCATTAGTAACGTCCTCTTTATGATACAAAGCACCGGTTTTTTCATCCACATGTAAATGCTCCAACTCCTCGCGATCCGATCCTGATAAATTACTATCTGCAGACTTCGTCTCACGAATCCACCATTTCGTTTTTTCATCTTTTTGTTGCTCCTCGGACCAAAATACAATTTTTCCTTTCGATTCAATGTCCCTCGAAATATAAACTTGCCACACTTGTTTTTCCGGTTGCGTTGCAGTTTCCGCACTTGGCACTATTTTCGCGCACTCCGCACAATTATATTCGAAAATTTTAATATCTTCCACCATGTTCGGCCAGTAATATTTCCGCACCTCGTATAAATACTGATACATCGTTACTGCCGAACCGAATTCTTTCTGGTGCGTAACGCGTCTGTGAACTGAATTCATCAGTTTTTCCCGCCGCTGATATGGAATAAATACATGAGTAGGATGTCTACTATTTAAGGGTTTATGCTTCAGAAAATCAAAATCACAACCCATGTACTGAATTTCTTCACGAACGCATTCTGGCATCGTACACGCATTTTTTGGATTTTTATGATGTCGCAACCACTTCTGGGTATCTGAGCACGAAGGCTGAACTTTTTTCCAAATCAACATCGTCAAAATCTGCGTCCGGTGGCATCATAGTTTCATCTTTTTTCGTTTGAAGTCTTGTCCAGCCAGGCCATTTATTGGGAATCCGCACTCTCTTTTCTTCACTTGCCGGTGTTTTCTTCGGGCTTACATTTTCTGGAACGACAGCCTGCACCGCTCTACTATTAAATTCGACAGCATTCGCTACCCCTGGCGGGCGTAATCCACTTTCTTTGTCTACTTCCGCCCAAACATTTTCTTGTTCCACAACTGACACACCAGGGCCAGCCGGAGGCATTACTTCCTCCGTTTCTGGTACATCCACAATTTTCTTCATAGTTTTCGGGTATGTTTGGAGACTCACCATTTCAGTAACCGGGGCGTTTTCAGCCGGTGCATTCTTGGGCGCCGCTTTATTGCATTCCACACAGGCCAATTCCACACGAATAATGTCTGCCATCATGTCTAGCCAGTAAAATCGATCCAAAATAAAATTACCCGCAACTGTTGTATCTGGATTCTGCTTTTTATGAACAATCCGGTTATGAATACAGGCAACAAATTTCGCTCGCCATTGATGTGGAACCAACACTCTGTGCCTCTCCTCTTTCGTAGTGGGTTTCTTTCCCAACACTGCGTAACGCACATCCATGCCATTAGTTTCCCGGCGAATAAAATCCATATCAATCTTGTCCTGGTTCAGATACAAGTGGAACCATGATCGGGAATCCAAACATCTTTTTAGCTCAGCACGCCAAAAATGAATATCACAAAATTCTTCAAACTGAGGGAACCTGTCCACATCCTCAGGATTGACTTTCGGAGTCATCCAGGACTTTTCCGTACTGATTCTTTTATATTTCGGCATCAATCTTCTCTTATTATTCGGCGTTTTGAACTCATGGATCATATCAACATTCCTTTTGTCTTTAGGCACTGCAGCCACATTAATTTTCTTGTTTCCCACGAGAAAAGACATACCGTCACCTGCTTTCTGTCCGGTTGCACCCCCACGAACTTGACTAGGCCCTGGGCTTGAATTCACAACATTGTTACTTCCATTACACCCCCACGAACTTGAATTCGTCCGTGCGTTATTTCCTTGATTAACTGCTACATTTCCAGAATTATTAGTGGCTATGCCACCCCCACGAACTTGAACTGTTCCATTGGGTGAAGAGGGAATATCTTGAACCGAGAGATTATCACGTGCCAACACTGAGCTACTGCTCAAAGAACTCAAATCTCCCGAATTTTTTTCCGCATCATAAACACGAGGCCAACACTGCTTCGCTTTTTCCAACCGAATAGCACATATTTCAGAATTTCCAAGCTTATACACATCATGTGCCGTTTTATAGGGCAAGAACTCTGCTTCTTGACCAATACCCAATCGCGCCGTATGCATTAAAGCTGGGATCGGTTCTGTCGAACGATCGTGATTTCCGCTCATGCTAGGTAAAAAAGAATGGAAATGATGCGCCTTAATAATTTCTTCAGTTTTGTGGCTCACTCTCAAATGATGCATTTCAGGGGACTCACAACTCAAACGAATTGTCATCGAATTAAAGTCAAACAAAAACGGTTTCGCCATTAGAAAATCCATTCTCAAAATTATGTAATCACGATTCAACTGTGTACTAATAAAACAGGCATGCTCGAAGGTAGCATCAAACATGTGTACATTAATCATATTGCACATAAGTAGTAAGTCACCAACCCTGGCAGGGACACGTGATTGGTCAGACACGCCCCCCTCTCTGATTGGCTGGCTCCGCCTCTTAAGCTGAGACCGAGACAGGACCGCTAGAATAGCATCCTTTTCTGATTTCGCCTCTTAGCCGAGACTGAGACCGAGACAGGGCCGCTAGAATAGCAGTCTATCTGACCTCGCCTCTTAGCCGAGACTGAGACCGAGACAGGGCCGGTAGAATAGCAGTCTATCTGACTTCGCCTCTTAGCCGAGACTGAGACCGAGACAGGGCCGCTAGAATAGCAGTCTATCTGACTTCGCCTCTTAGCCGAGACTGAGACCGAGACAGGACCGCTAGAATAGCAGCTCTAAGTCCAGACTGAGAGGGCAGACCAAACCCGGATCTAGTTTCTGGGTCATGTTTATCCCCTTTCTTTTGTTTCAATTTTCCCCAACCCTCTTTTATTTCCTTTTCACATAACAATGAACAAAGTAAAACAAATCATGACGCATGAACGTACGTAGCAGTACACTCTTTAACACAGAAAAATCGCGTACCGCTTATAGACGTCAGCCCTACAAACAGGGCAATGATACAATCGGTTGAAACAAAGTTTATAACACGCCGCATGACCGCAAGGCTGAAACATCACATTTACATCAGCATCATAGCATACTAGACACTGTAATTTAAAAACGGCGTTATCCTTTCGTTCTTCGTATCTTTTAGCTGCTTTGCCAGATAGGCGCAGAGATTCGGACCGGAATTTGTCAACTGTATCTTTGATGAAGATATAGCCTTTGTTCCTCGTCACAAATTCACAGTCAGAAATAAGTCGGGCGTGTTCCTCCCAGGGCGTGTCCCCTTCAACCCAGTCCACCACTTGTAACCCGCACTAAAAGCACTCCGTTATGTCTCGTTTTCCCGTAAAGAAGAAACCGGCTAACGCCATCTCTCGCGGATGTTGAGACTTTGTCCAGTTGGCGAATGTAGCAAAACGTTTTTCCATACCCGCCATCCCGGGTGTGTGCAAGGTGAAGCTAGGAGGCAGGCCTAAAACGTCTTCACCCTTAGTCAAAGGACAGCTAGACGATTCCCGCTTGTGCTGATCCGGAAGGTATTCGTCTCCTGGCCAGTCACGAACACTCCATGGGCAATACGCACAACGTACTTTATCCGGAAACGAATGAAGATACATTCCAGCCACAACTAGGTCCGCAGCCGGCATCAAAGGCCACGGCCAATTAGCAAACGTACGCATCCGGTTTTGCACGCAATGCAGATCCATACTCGGTGACCTAAACTAAAGTCACTCAACACAGCATTATATAGTAGGTTTAATACGGAACGGCGATCCAATTTGGATCTAGTAAGATTAAGTGTATAAGGAAATGCTCCAATTAGAGTAGGGAGAAAGAACCAATCAGATGCCGATGTGGGGCAGTCATCGCCAGCTTTATTAACAGAGACCAGGCTCAAACTAGGTCAACCACCAGTCCGATTAATAAAGCTCAGACATGTGTAAGTACGCCAGTCTTGTTGACGCCAGTCTTGAGATCTGACACAAAATAGGTCATTCGCCAGTACTCATTGGCGTTCAAAGTTTATAAAAGGCGCGCGTCGCTGTAGCAGACTTCCAGTTAAAACTTTTCGGATGCTCACCATGGATGACTATCAGCTAACGGAAGCGGATCGTATGGACACTGATGCCATTTTCGCCGAAGGGTCATGGTATCTTCCACCATCCCCACCGTACGTTGTTGCTGAAGCGGATTGCCGAGATATTGAAGCCATAATCGCCGAAGGTAACTGGGATTTGGAGGAGAATGGGGTAAGTGACCTTTGCTGAAAACCGCTGAATTTTATTTTAATTCAATTATTCGCATGACCTTTTCCGTATGCTAATATAATAAAAATTTTGAGGCGATAAGTTGTAGTTATAACACTAAGTGTTTTAACATAACAATTTTCGCAGAACTAAAATTTTTCGATAAATTTCGAAACGTATGTGCTCTATAACCAGTCAGCTAATTGTGATTTCTTGGCTCAGTTGGAACAGTAGTCTTCGACGCCAGTCAGCCTTTTGACCTACTTAGAACAATAGTTTGTTTTGATGACACCAACTTGCGAATACTGACCTATCCTGGTTAGTGCAATAGTCTTCGACGCCAGCCAACATCTTGACCTACTTAGAACAATAGTTTGTTTTGATCGACACTGTATTGTGAATACGGATCTGTCCTAGTTAGAACAATAGCCTTCGGCGCCAGTCAGCCTTTTGACCCATTTAAAACAAAATTGCTTTGATGAAAACCAACATACTAATATGGATTAATCCAAGTTAGAACAATAGCTGAGTCAACCTTTTGACCTACTTAAAACAATTGAACTGATAAGGTCTTGATGAACCCGAATTTGTTAACGTAGCTATGACATACTATAAACTACAACCATCGACGCCGATTTGCACAATTGTTTAAGGTTTTGTTTTGATTGATTGTAAGCGCGCATATGTTCTAGCTACAGTGCTAGCAGATATCACACGCTGCAATTCTTATCATGTTAAGTAAACGTTGTGGAACCACATTACGTGCTTTTAGCTGGTTTGTCTTTGATATGGAAAATCGCAGCACTTACCGATTTCCAATGATCTAGGTGGGAATGCGTGTTAATCAGGCAGGCGCGGGGGATCCGGCGGATGTTATTATGGACATCGACGACCCTGAAAAGCCAGCATCAGTTTTGGAGAAGCCATTGGTAAGCTGACAAAAAATCTAAATACAATTCTTTAAAACAACGCAGATACAATGGTTTCAAAATAATTATTTTGCAAAGCAAACAGACGCATAAAAGTTTAAAAGCAATTAATTATTTATTGCTGTATATAAAAAATATATTACAATCTTTTTATAGCAAGTTATTAATTTTTCATAAGTTACGCCTGTTGAGCTTCCGTAGCAAAAAGTGATATTTTAGGTTCTCGAAGATATTAGTGACATTCTGGATTTCTCAGCTCTGTTCAGCCTCACGAAGAACAGAGAGCGTCAGTACAAGAAGTTCAACTGCCTCGAGTACGAGTACCGCGCGGAAATAGCCAAACTACCGCGTATTTACTCCCAGGAGGAAACTGTCCTGCTCATGCCTTTACTGCTGGAATCCATATTGAATCTCTGCGTTGCCCAGTTTCAACCGTCTGGCCGCGTTACCGTTTCCATTAGCTGTGCGTCACTGGAATTTCCAATTTACCTGTCTATGCGGAAACTGTCGGATTTTAGTGTCGACGAACATGTTGCTGTATGGGCCAAGTCTAACTCTGGGCGGGCGGTGCTGGACGATACCTTCGCAGTTCGTATTTTTCGTACCGTTATCCCTAGTGGTGGCAACTGGAAGCGTAACTATCGCCACGTGGCTCGGGGCGCCAAACGTTTCAGCAAATCTATAGTTACTGTTCGCGTGGATAATAACTACTGCCTCCCAGCTGCATTGTACTTGCGCAAGTATCGTTTAACGCATGATGTTCAGGGAGCGTATAAGAGCCAGTGGAAACATCTGTACAGCAAGGATGGAGTCAATAAGCTGAAAAGCCACGCCACTGAAATCCTCCAGTTATGTGACTTACCCCTTGATCGGTATTGCGACCTGAACGACCTGAGTGCCATCCAGGAAGAATGCTTTCCAGAGTACCAAATCAAAGTGATTTCAGCCGATCATGGTAATGCCATCATTGCCCGTGTCCCAGAGAAGAAGACAAAGATGATGCAAGAAATATTTGTACTGTTGGAGAAGAACCACTTTGATCTCGTTGCAAGTGCGACCGGCATTTTTCATTCATCGTATTTTTGTCAACACTGTGACGTGCCGTATGGCCATAAAGAACGGCACCGATGCAGTGGAAATTGTCGCTTTTGCTATCGGTCAGTCAATGACTGTGTGGAAGGGATTGTTGTTCACTGCGGCGACTGTAGGCGTACGTTCAACAACCAGGATTGCTTCAACATCCACATGAATATTCGGAAAAACTGGAAAACGTTTTGTTCTCAAATTTTCTATTGTAAAGATTGCCGGCGTTTTGTGAACTTGACGCGGCGAAACGGTCAGAAACACCAGTGTGGGGAAATGTTTTGCACGGTGTGTCGTGAATGGGTCCAGCAAGCAGACCATAAGTGTTATATGAAAGTTTTCCCGAAACCATTGCCGCCTATGCCAGGTCAACCGGAACCGTCGAAGCGGTATATCTTTTTTGATTATGAGACGTACAACGATCCCGTCAATGGACATACCCCGAGTTGTGTCGTGGCTCATTATGAGGACGGGACGGAATTCAGGTTTCCGGCAGACGGCCAGCCAATGACCACAGATGTTGCTCAGCAGTTTGGTGAATGGTTGTTTTCGGAGCAACACAATCGACATACGATACTTGCTCACAACTTCCGCGGTTATGACGGTCACTTCATCTTAAAGTACCTTTTGAATAACAAGTTGAAGGGCGTGGAAGTAATAAAAAGAGGAAATCAGCTCCTGGAAGTGCGGTATCGGTCTCTCAATATGTGTTCCAGAGGCACTCTGAATTTTTTACCTATGAAGCTGAGCAGTCTACCCAAGGCGGTGGGCTTGGAGGTCGAGGTCAAGAAAGGTGACTTCCCACATTATTTCAATCGCCCGGAGAACTGGGACAAAGTGCTGCCGTGGCCCGACCCGGAAATGTATGTTTTTGACGGCCTGAAGAAGCAAGACAAAGATAAATTTCTCAAGTGGCACGCTGGGGCGAAGGCCGCTGCAGGTGGGAATTTTGACTTCCGTGCGGAAATTATGTCGTATTGCTCGAATGACGTAACCGTACTTCGACGGTGCGCCCTGAAGTTTGTTGATGATTTTATTGCCCTGACTAACTTGAACCCGCTGGATAGTATCACTATGTCATCGGCTTGTAATCGCTACTACCGCACCTTTCATTTTGAACGCAAGAAGATAGCTGTACTGTCAGCCCATGGTCCTCACCGCAATCGACGTACTAGTGTTCAGGCTACTCAGTGGTTGGAAGTGCTGAACCGAGACCTCGGCGGGCGTGTTCAGCATGGACGGAATGGCAAAGAAATACGTATTGGCCCGTATTACGTGGATGGTTACGATGCTGCTACTCGTACAGTGTACGAGTATAATGGGTGTGTATTCCACGGACATCCCGAGTGCACTGATGAGGAAGATCGGTCGCCTTTCTCCCGTAAAAAGATGAGCGAATTGTACCAGGAATACTTGGACCGTGTGCGATACCTGGAAGATGAAAAGTATACAGTAACTACCAAGTGGGAGTGTGACTGGAAAAGGGAACGTTAAGAAGCTGATATCGCCTCTTTTTTGTCTGGCAAAAACCTGCGTAAACCTCTTAATCCCCGGGATGCCTTTAAAGGTGACGTACTAATGCCAGTCGTTTGTACTACGCGGTGAAGCCGAAAGAAATGATTATGCACTTTGACGCTGTCAGCCTGTACCCTTTCGTTAACAAGACCAAGACGTACCCTATCGGCCACCCCACGATTACATTGTCGGATTTCAAGGATGTGAAAGAATACTATGGCTTGGTGTCGTGCAAAGTGCTACCGCCGTGGCAGTGTTTGTACCCTGTTCTCCCTGCTACTATCAACAAAAAGCTAGTTTTCGCGCTTTGTCGTACGTGTGCGGACACCAGAAATAACGACTATTGCCAGCACACCGACGCTGACCGCTGCCTCGAAGGGGTATGGACCACACCGGAGCTCCACCACGCCATCAACCGGGGATATACCGTGCAAGAGGTGTATGACGTATGGCACTGGGACACTATGGAAGCCGGTGTTTATGCTGCGTACATCAACAAGTTTCTGAAAATCAAGATGGAGGCGAGCGGTTGGCCGAGCTGGCGTAGGTTTTCGCAGCAGAAGGATGAATATCTCCGTCAGGTAAAAGAGCGGGAAGGCATTGATCTTGATCCGGAAGCCGTGATCTACGATGCTGGACGCCGTAACGTGGCCAAAACCTGCCTGAACTACCGATGGGGCAAGCAAGGGCAGCGGGATTCTATGACTATGACCAAATTCATCTACAAGACTAAGGATTACTTGGACATGATCCGCTCAAAGGCCGTGGAAATTCATGATGTGTTTGCCATCAACGAGGACTGCCTCATGGTGACGTACTCAAAGGGAGAAGACTACAACGAAGGTAGTAACGCTACGAACGTCGCCCTCGCCGCCTTCACCACTGTAAATGCTCGCCTCATCCTCCTGGACATGATGGAGAAACTTGGTGATCGCCTAATGTACTACGATACAGATTCCGTTGTCTTCCTCACCCGACCAGGGGACTGGGTGCCGGAAACCGGTAGTATCCTAGGCGACTGGGATAACCAGTTGCAAGCCGGAGAGAGCCACATCGTGAAGTTTGTGTCGTGTGGTCCGAAAGTGTACAGCTACGAGACTGACACTGGTCGGATCGAATTAAAGGTGTGAATACTCAAGTTAGACGTACAGTAAGTATGTATGTACAGTGTATTCATTGATGGTAGGCAAAAGGTCTTACCCAAAACGGGTACACGGAGGATATTCTGGATTTTAACGAAGTCACCAAGTCCTTCAGCCGCACCAGACAGTCTTTGGACTTCGAAAAACTCAAGAGCCTTTTGGACGGAACGGAATCACAGGTTCAGATTATCTACCCTGAATACATCAAGCGGAACGCGAGGACACAAGAGATAAACACGGTTCAACTGTTCAAGAAGCTGAGAATGGTTTACGATAAGCGCATGTTACTTGCTGATTTTACTACCCTACCTTTTGGTACTAAACAATAAAATGTTTCCCAGTACAACGATGATTACTAGAGCGCTAGGTATTATAAGAGAGACTGGTTTGTTTTTTGCTACTAATCAAAAGTATTTTCATTAATAACCGGCGGATTGTTTGTTGTTATCGCGAAAAAGGGGCTAGAAGCCCGTAACTTACAGCGCACTAACGTGAAATATCATCTTCAAATTGGTGTATTGTGAGTGCCGGGGCTGGCTATCGCATACCAAGCTTCATGGAACTTACGACCAGGTAAGAACGCATATTTTAACTTTCGGTGCTCTGTTTGATGTTACCACAAAGAACTATCTAAATATCCTTACTATTGACCGGACGTGTCGGTGGTGAATCATCACTCATCATGACGTCTAGTACATTCTTTGTAAGCTGGGTGGATTCCGTTATGCGGGTTACGTTGGGTTTAGCGAATTGGCAACATATTTCTGAAACATTAAAAACCAGTAATAAAATGGTGATGAGAATTCCAAAAATAATAGAAATTATCTCTTTGATTGTAGGTTTATCCATGATTTATTAGTGATTTTATGAATTCGTTGTCTCTTAGTTTTGTGCTTATACGGAAAAATTTATTGGTAAATTTGCATACCAATTTATCATTCACCCCTTTATGCTTGGTAAATGCCGACATTAGATCCTTATACGAAAAACCGTAGCCTCGCAATAATACATGAAACATACAGTACTGACCGCATACGGTGCTGTCGGTGTTTTGTCTTGTAGTATTGGACATAATGACGTAATCATCTCCCATCCATTCTGCAATATCCGACGAATATTCCGCAGGATTAAGGCCATACGAATGAAACGCTTCTAACATGTTTTAACGAACGCAGAAGAAAGCCACCCAGTGCTCAAAAATATCACGAATTTTGGGATCTGAACAAAGGGATTTTTCGATTTCTAAATTATTCATGGCGCAAAATCAAAAAGTACTTGTCTATTATTGTTTATTTCAATAATATTATCGTAAACTAGCATGGCGATAAATACAGCTGCTTCTGGTAATGGTTTGGCAAAACGCATACTCATATTTAAATTACCTTGCCGAATGAGCGATAAAGCACCACGCCCTGTATGCCCTCTCGTAAAATCAAAACCATAAATTCAAAATCCACCTGAATTATAATCAGATCTGTCGAACGGTAGCTCTCCGAAACCTTCGTGAAGGCGCTCCAGCGTATCAAAAATTCCTTCGTACGGCTCTAAACTAGCCCCGTTTTCAAAATCCATATTATATCCCCGAGTTGGAAATATTTGCTCCGTCTATTTCTGCATGCAAGTAAGCCAAACTGAAATTATTAAAAGCATACGGCGTCGAAGTATATTCCCCATTGAATGCCCTACTCGGTACCATAGCAAAGAACATAACCTTGGGTAATTGACCAATAACAAGGTTGGGCCAAATATGTTGTTGCTGTCCGGCAAACAGAGTAGTTTGCCGCATAGCAACACGTTCAATGTGGTACTTGGCATTTGTTGTAACTAATTGCTTAGTTAAAGCCCCTAGAAAATCGGGCGATGGCTCGTATTTTCTCATTTTTAAACGAGGGTTTTTGATAATTACAGATTTTGGTTTTGATAAATCGCTGTCCGTCATAAAGACTAGACTGTTTTTATTACGCACTAATTTTATGCTCAACTCGACACCTGGTATCAGTGGTTTGCCCTGTTGGAACAAATCACAATACAGCTTTCCTGATAATTGCAGTGGGCGGCACGCTCGAAGCCACATTCGTCTTAACTCTCCTCCTTTGCTAAAAAAGATCTTTTCACTGTTAACTTTGGCTTCGTAATATGGATCTTGCTTCCACAGTAATGTATCCATGGCAAACCCAGACAGTTGTAATTGTGAAGCCTGCGCTTGCTTAGTGTAGCCTAGAAGATTTTCAATGTACCCCCGCATATGGTACATGGAGCTGCTGTCAGAAATATTACGACCACCCAGAGTGACAATTACCTGTTCAAATAAACTATCGAGAATATTATTTACAGTTGTCAAGCAGGCATCATCCGTGGGCATATCCCCTTTAGGGTCAGTTACATACAGATCACAGGAAAATCGGACATCTGCCAAACTAATAAGTTCAGTTAGACACGGAGCAATGGTAAAAACATAATCGTTGGATGTGTCCGACGGGGCTTGTGTTGGTCCGATATCATAATCGCGGGTATTCCACCTTTCGCTAAGAGTTGCCGGAAGATAAAATAAATGGCTCTCTAGGAGCACAGAAGGTTCGGAACCGCTTTCAATAAGAGCCATTATAGTTTGTCTTTAAGTGCGTCAATTGCAAATTGTCGCTTTGTAAGGACTACTTTGCGTCGTTTTCGGCCCTTAATACCCGATCCTTGCTGTTGTTTCAGTTTGTCACTAACATGTTCTACAGCTTTGCCGATTCCACAGCTTTATGTGCTATATTTTTCATTACGGTTGGGCTTTTGTTATTAAATTGCTTATATGGGGCGCGGCTTTGCTGAAAATACCTTTAGCAAAACCGATAATTTTCCCCCAAAAGCCAGCACCGGACATGGGGGCACCGCGGTATACCGGCATCCCAAACCCATGTTGCCGGCTACAGGCTTGTAAATAACGATTTTTATCAAACTTGTGCTCTTGAAGTACCATTTTTTCAGCGTTTCTTGGGTCGAAAATGTAACTTTATTATCGTGGTACCGGGATGAAACGATACTTCCGTCCCTAAATCATCTGCGAGTCTTAATTCGATGGTCTGAAAGGTGTGTTTGGCAAGTGGCACATAATGCGGATTTTCGTAAATTAATGTAGTCTCGGTGTTGTTACGAGTATAAATGTGGCTATGTAACTATCCAGGATGGTAGTGAATAGTGGAAGATGGCACTAATACTAGCCAACTATACTCGCAACAAAACAGCAGCTAGTGGCAACTCTTTACTGATGAAAAGTCCAAATGAACAGAGCGCATTTTCTGGCAGCATCGCAGTGCTGCTTATATACTCTAAGCATCAGGAATAGAAAGTCTAAATCAGCATATGTAAAAACAATGAAGAAAGATCAAGAACGTTATTTAACAATGGGGTGTGGCTCGGGTGTGACAATAGAAAATAAACAATGATGAATCATATGCAACTAGTGCATTGATCGTTATTGTGCGATAGCAACAATTAAAGGGTAACTATTAACAGCTTTAGCTGCTCTATTTTAAACGCTTCCATGGTCATTAATTATGCAGCAATATTGTACCTATAACAACTCCTCCGGTAATGAAATTTCGACCCGAAATTTAAATGAACAATATGCGTAGAAATAAAGACAAAATTGCGAAATTAGCAAAAATTAAGCAAAAATAAGCAAAAATTAAGCAGAAATTAAACTGAAAAATCGTAAGCTTATCTCATCTCCTTCGGTCATGGCTTGTTCCTTCTGTTATGAATCCGGGCTGGTGGGACTTTAGTCCACAATCTTCTCTATGGATCCTTCACCTCCAGCGATGTTACCTTCCGCATTTGCAGTAATATAGTACGGAATCAAAATCCTGCGTGCTTTCTTTGCCTGGTTGTCCTCGTCAAAAATGCGTTTTTGTTTTTTATTAAGTCTCTTCAATTTTCCGATTTCAAAGCACTGATGTCCAACGTTCGTAAATGCGGTAATTTCCTCGATATTTTCCAAATTAGATTCCCTGACTAGCGTTTCTGTATTCCAGTCCAGTGCTCCAACTTCTTTGTCGCATATAAAAAGCTTTTTCTTCTGGTCAGTTTTCGGTGCAGTCGATGTTTGATCTCTTTCCAAACTCCATATCGTCCAATCAAACCGATTATTATTTCGATAATTAATTGCAGTCCCTTTTCTGACGTTTCCGAATTTATCCGTGAGAAATATGTCGTAGAAATTATCCCACAACGAATTCCATCCTTTACTTTCGTGTGGCGTTACTCTGTCTCGCTTCCAAACTTCTGACTCATTTCCTGTTGCCTTCACGAACTGGTCCATAGTTTTTCCAGTAGTTCTGATTTCCGTCCAGTCTTGCGCCGTTTTAAAGTTTTTCGATTTATCAACCTGCGTTACCGCTTTAATTACTTCGCTATCTTTTTCTGCGCCTTTATTTTCCGTCTTGAAACAATCTTTGTAGGCTAACGGTCCGTTCACTTTGGCAGTCCTGTATGGTTCTTGCTCGTGCGTCGTTCCACCGGTAGTTTTCTCTTTAGTTTTCCCAAAAACATCCGTTTTAGCCTTCCATCCTCCCTCGCTTTTAGCGCAGCGCACATCGATCCAAAAATGATTTCTGTCGTTTGGTAGATCCTTACAAGTAGGGTTCCCGTCGTCTTTACTCAAAACGTGCTTTGTTGAGCTTTCTTTGAATCCGTTATTCACTCCAGTAACTTCCCAAGTAAGCGCTAATAATACCGCTGCCAAACAAAACAACCTGCAGAGGTCACTTCGTTTGAATTCCGGTCTTTTGCTCCCATTTATTATATTCTGGTCTTCCGTCCTGCAACTTTCGTTTGCTGGCACAAATCCAATTTCATGTTGTTCGGTTTCTCTACTTCCAAAGCTATCACTCGTTCTCCACATTCTTTACCTCCTCCGTTTCGTCAACGCTGTATACGGGAGTAACCATGTTTACGTTGAAACTCCTTAAAAAGCCATTACGTTCTTTTTCGTAGGTATCTCCACTGCTTGTCTCCTCTTCTTTATTATCTTTTTCTTTTCTTGGCGGCACCGCGTAGTAGACTGGGCTGTTGTCTTTTCCCGTTGAATGGTGACAGTAATTTACGCCGCTGCGGTCCTTCTCGTGATCGAAGTCACACCGGTTTGTGTAGTTTTCAGCTTCGCTGTCGTTAGCGTCGTCATTATTTCCTCGACTGCGATGCCAGCAATTAACTGCTATGTGCCCTGGTTTCCCACAAATAAAACAAATCGGTCTGCCGTCTTCGGTCCACCAACAAAATTGCTGAGGGTCCTCGTCATTATTATCACAGTCTTCAAGATCCTCGTTACATTCATCGGAATAGGGGTGATCGTATACGCC